TGGAATATTTATATTTCCAATATTTCCGTGAGTCAATTATTTTATTGGTGTTTGAATAAATTTAACTGTTTTGATCATTTTTCCGATTTTATTTGCGTGTGACTTTCGTAAACCATTTCCGATTTATATATCAGTTTCCCGTGATTTATAATTTACTATTTTACAATATATATTTTTTAATTATTTTCAAGAGGAATAGCCTCACATAAAGTTAATTTGGAATTTTATTTACTTTATTCTAATAAAATTATGAGCAGGATATTGCCTTTATTAAAAAAAAAATAAAAAAATATTATTGTTTATATTCATTGTTAATTATTTTAGATTTATGAAATGGTATGACCAATTTTTTTTAATAGATATTTTCTTCATCCACATCATTGTTAGCTTCATTAATGAATTTGGATGAGATATCACCAATCATATATTTAATGTCAGCCAGGTCTTGAGAGAGATTTTTAGCATTTTGATTGAGTTCTTCCTATTGTTTGACAATTAATTGATTTTCATTAGTATTTTTGTTGGGTTTTGTTGTTAAAACTCGTCCTTCTTCAGATGAAGATGTAAAAAATTCTCTAGGTCTCTTGTTAGAGTTGGACTTTGCAGGCTTGTATGTCGGTTTTTTCAAGATGGAAGTGAAAATGGTTTTAGAAGGCTCTGTATTACCTTGTCTAAGTTTAGTACTGTATTTATCTTCAAGTACTTTAATTCTGATATTGATTTTCTGAATATCCTGCATTAGATTATTCAGTTTGGTTGATATATCTTCAACTTTTTCCATAAGTTTTTTAAATAAATTATTTGTTTTGTTTGCCATTTTTTTAGCATGAATAGAATCATTAAGAAATGTCCTATTACTCTTTTTCACAACATCTGCAAATGATAATTCCTTTAGTTTATTTGCAGGTGGGAGTGTTCTTGGTTTATGATGTTGAGCAGGTTTATATTTATTGTATAATGGTTGTAGTTTAGATATATTGGTTTTTTTTGGTTTGCATGTTGAATTTCTTGACAACCTGTAATAGTGTGATCAGGATGTCCACATTTTCTACAAAGTGCAGTATCTTCTGATGCCCAAAACAATTCAGTATTATTGAGAGTGTACCAATTAATTTGTGCATTATGTGCTGCTTCATCAGAATCAAAGAAGAACCATCCATATCTACGGTTAATGTATGATTTGTGTGTTTTAGGTATAAACACTGCTTTTGCTTTTGTTCCATTGATTATGTTAACAAGATCTCTTGCTGTAGTTCCAAATGGAAGGTGACCAAGTTTGAGGGCATGTGCATGTCTTTTTTCATATTGTTCCTCATTCATGTTTAGTGGTTCTACTCTAACCATATCTTTAAGAATAAAAGCTTCCATGTTTCATTATGAAATGGTAAAATATTATTTTTTTCTTCAAAATAAATTATGGCTTTTTGCCATAAGTCTTTGGTTTGCATAGAGAATTTAATAGTTTTTCCATATTTTTCAAAAGTAGCACATACTAATGTTGAGCTTGTATTAAGTGGAATATTCTTAACTCTGATTGAATTTTCTTTGTTAATGTTTCCAACTGGTGCAAGTTCTTTAAAAAATGGATGCCTTCACAATCAGGTAAATCTGTGACAACAAGTTTGTTAAGATCCTCTTCATTATCAAAGTTAGCAACAAATTTCCTTTGTTTACCAAATCTGGTAATATAGAGACTCACAAACCCTTTAAAGTTAATCAATAATTTTTCAACAGTTTTCTTTTTATTAGCATTATTTTTATTTGGTGTTTGATCAATTAAGATTGCTGCATGAAAGTTTGTGCATTTATTGACACTACCCAATCTTGTGTCATACTGTCATCTTCCACATTTGAAACAGAATTTCTAATAGAATTAGATGTGTTTGTTGGGTCTTCAATAGAATGAGGTGGAGTTGGTTCTTTTTTGTTAATAATAGATGCATTTGCTGATGTTGCAACTGTTTGATTGTATTTGTTGAATTTGCATCTATTTCCATCATATTTCAATTAGAAGCTTTATTAACTTCTACAGTAGATTCTTTCACATGTAAAATTTGCTTTTTATTAGCTTGTTTTCTAGTTTTGGTGTTATAATGTTTAGTCATTCATTGTATTTATTATTATTTTTTGATTTTTGATTTTTATTACATGAAAAATTTTCAAAGTTTACTGATCATTTATCATTATCATTATCATTATCATTATCATTATCATTATCATTATCATTATCATTATCATTATCATTATCATTATCATTATCATTATCATTATCATTATCATTATCATTATCATTATCATTATCATTATCATTATCATTATCATTATCATTATCATTATCATTATCATTATCATTATCATTATCATTATCATTATCATTATCATTATC